TCGTCCCCAAAAGTGGGAATAGCCCCAAGGCAGTGGAAGTTTGAGATCAGGAGGATAACCAAGTCTATATATATATATATATATATATATATATATATATATATATATATATATATATATATATATATATATATATATATTATATTATATATATATGTCGTACCTAGTAGCCAGAACGCACTTCTCAGCCTACTATACAAGGCCAGATTTGCCTAATAAGCCAAGTTTTCCTGAATTAATATATTTTCTCTAATTTTTTCTTATGAAATGATAAAGCTACCCATTTCATTATGTATGAGGTCAATTTTTTTTATTTGAGTTAAAATTAACGTAGATATATGACGGAACCTAACCAACCCTACCTAACCTAACCTAACCTATCTTTATAGGTTAGGTTAGGTAGCCGAAAAAGTTAGGTTAGGTTAGGTAGGTTAGGTAGTCGAAAAACAATTAATTCATGAAAACTTGGCTTATTAGGCAAATCGGGCCTTGCATAGTAGGCCTAGAAGTGCATTCTGGCTACTAGGTACGACATTATATATATATATATATATATATGTCGTACCTAGTAGCCAGAACTCACTTCTCAGCCTACTATGCAAGGCCCGATTTGCCTAATAAGCTAAGTTTTCATGAATTAATGTTTTTTCGTCTACCTAACCTACCTAACCTAACCTAACCTAGCTTTTTGGCTACCTAACCTAACCTTACCTATATATATAGGTTAGGTTAGGTTAGGTAGGGTTGGTTAGGTTCGGTCATATATCTACGTTAATTTTAACTCCAATAAAAAAAAATTGACCTCATACATAGTGAAAAGGGTAGCTTTATCATTTCATAAGAAAAAAATTATAGTAAATATATTAATTCAGGAAAACTTGGCTTATTTGGCAAATCGGGCCTTGAATAGTAGGCTGAGAAGTGAGTTCTGGCTACTAGGTACGACATATATATATATATATATATATATATATTATATATATATATATATATATATATATATATATATATATATTATATATTATATATATATATATATATATATATATATATATATATATATATATATATATATATATATATATATATTTTAGTGTGAGATACGGGAGGACAGAAAGCTCTTGCTGACGTGTGTACTTTTCAGGCATTTCAGGCACCACTCGGCCATGGTCTGAAACCCACGCTGAAGCTCTGGTATACCCGAGACATTCCCAAGGTAATACCTTTGATGTTCAACAACCTCTTGGATTTCAGAAGATCACGATCGCAATGATTCGCGCTTCACCGCGAGGGAACTCCCGAGGTCAACTTTTGTCCTTTTCGCAATAGTATTTGTATATGCTCATACTGCTAGTATTTGCTCCTTTCCGCCGGTTCTATTATCCCCACGTTCTTTTGCCTCCCGTTCCTTTCAATATTATTCAGAACTCCTTTTTCGTAAATTTTCATTCCTTGTTACTATTCCATTGTTCCCTGACGTACCGTGCTGTGTCCCTGATCTCGTCCCGTTAATGCCTCCCCTTTCGTCCCCTCAGGGACCCAGAGAAGTACTAATGAACAAAGCAGAATCAAGGTACTGGGGGGTGGTTATGGGGGTTCCTAGAGGCACCAGCAGTCCCCACATCCCCCCCTCAACGTGTCTCGTTATCACTCCGTAAACACGAAAACTTTCCTCCACTACGAAGAATGAATTCATATTTCAGCGGCGAAGTTATCAGTCGTGTTTAGCCGCCAGGACTCACGAAGCGGGGTGGGTGCCCCATGCCCAGCCTCACTGTTGTGTGCCTGGGAGTGTGGGTGCCCCATGCCCAGCCTCACTGTTGTGTGCCTGGGAGTGTGGGTGCCCCATGCCCAGCCTCACTGTTGTGTGCCCGGGAGTGTGGGTGCCCCATGCCCAGCCTCACTGTTGTGTGCCCGGGAGTGTGGGTGCCCCATGCCCAGCCTCACTGTTGTGTGCCCGGGAGTGTGGGTGCCCCATGCCCAGCCTCACTGTTGTATGCCCGGGAGTGTGGGTGCCCCATGCCCAGCCTCACTGTTGTGTGCCCGGGAGTGAGTGCCCATGCCCAGCCTCACTGTTGTGTGCCTGGGAGTGTGGGTGCCCATGCCCAGCCTCACTGTTGTGTGCCTGGGAGTGTGGGTGCCCATGCCCAGACTCTGTTGTGTGCCTGGGAGTGTGGGTGCCCATGCCCAGACTCTGTTGTGTGCCTGGGAGTGTGGGTGCCCATGCCCAGACTCTGTTGTGTGCCTGGGAGTGTGGGTGCCCATGCCCAGACTCTGTTGTGTGCCTGGGAGTGTGGGTGCCCATGCCCAGACTCGCTGTTGTGTGCCCGGGAGTGTGGGTGCCCATGCCCAGACTCGCTGTTGTGTGCCCGGGAGCATGGGTGCCCGTGCCCAGACTCGCTGTTGTGTGCCCGGGAGTGTGGGTGCCCATGCCCAGACTCGCTGTTGTGTGCCCGGGAGTGTGGGTGCCCGTGCCCAGACTCTGTTGTGTGCCGGGAGTGTGGGTGCCCATGCCCAGACTCGCTGTTGTGTGCCCGGGAGTGTGGGTGCCCATGCCCAGACTCGCTGTTGTGTGCCCGGGAGTATGGGTGCCCATGCCCAGACTCGCTGTTGTGTGCCCGGGAGTGTGGGTGCCCGTGCCCAGACTCTGTTGTGTGCCGGGAGTATGGGTGCCCATGCCCAGACTCGCTGTTGTGTGCCCGGGAGTGTGGGTGCCCGTGCCCAGACTCTGTTGTGTGCCGGGAGTATGGGTGCCCATGCCCAGACTCGCTGTTGTGTGCCGGGAGTATGGGTGCCCATGCCCAGACTCTGTTGTGTGCCCGGGAGTGTGGGTGCCCAAGCCCAGACTCTGTTGTGTGCCGGGAGTGTGGGTGCCCATGCCCAGACTCTGTTGTGTGCCGGGAGTGTGGGTGCCCATGCCCAGACTCTGTTGTGTGCCCGGGAGTGTGGGTGCCCATGCCCAGACTCTGTTGTTTGCCCGGGAGTGTGGGTGCCCATGCCCAGACTCTCTGTTGTGTGCCCGGGAGTGAGTGCCCATGCCCAGACTCTGTTGTGTGCCCGGGAGAGTGAGCCAACTATTTAGTTTAAGGGCGCCTCGCGTGTACACTTTTATCAACAAATTTCCAAAAATAATTCGTTCGTATGAAATTAAGGAGAAAATGATGAGTTGGGAAAAACGGCCGCATCACGCGAGAATGTTCACGACCGTGTCCCCGAGTTCGAATCGCGACCCGTCATTCCCACTCATCTCTTTCACAGATGAAAATATAAATCCTCACCAGGGGTTGTCGGAGCGATCTGCCTCTCACCATGTCCTACTGAGTGGCCACAACCGACAAAATGTGATGTACTAAAACGCGTTAACCTAGCTTAACGGACCTAACCTAACTGAACGAGGATTTGGTATTTGTTGACGAGGACGGGCTGAAGCATTTCGGGATTCGAGCAGAAGACGTAAACGAAGCACTGTTCTACATAAGTTCATACGTTATCAATTAAATTGACCGTCGTATGTAAAATGTTTTTCATTCATAAAGAGCGGGTTTGAATGGTGGATTAATGAGCATTTGGCCTTTGTTGAGGGTTACCTTACCTTGAGGGTTACCTTGAGATGCTTCCGGGGCTTAGCGTCCCCGCGGCCCGGTCTTCGACCAGGGTGGGGGGAGGAAAAAGGGGGGAGGGGGAGCTGCTTAACCGACCCACTCATAGACACCTTGGTCGTGTGTGAGCTGCTGTGCTTCATAGTGCGCCGTGTTTTGTTCGTTAGGGATTTTGTCTCCAAAATACTAATATATAATAAGACAGGTTGATAACCCAACTTTATTGTATTCTGGCTTTAGAAAGCCAGAGTTTACCAGGTACCGTCACTGTACCGCGATGTTGTTTACCAGGTACCGTCACTGTACCGCGATGTTGTTTACCAGGTACCGTCACTGTACCGCGATGTTGTTTACCAGGTACCGTCACTGTACCGCGATGTTGTTTACCAGGTACCGTCACTGTACCGCGATGTTGTTTACCAGGTACCGTCACTGTACCGCGATGTTGTTTACCAGGTACCGTCACTGTACCGCGATGTTGTTTAAAATTTACTGTTATGTTCCCAAGCCACCCCCCCCCCCATCAAAAAAAAAATACGATTATGAAATTAGATTTCATCCAAAAATTAAAACAAACACATACACATTGATTTTAGCGAGTGTTGAGAAAAATAAAATTTTAATGAAAAAATTCAATAATATATTGCACACCACCTGCTTCACTTGGTCATAGCGCCCAAACATCGACACCACAGAATAGAGTTGCCATGGAGACTTGTCGGCCTCCAGTGAAGAGGACCTCGTCGGCTCGTCTGGCTTTTACGGTGACGGTGGATCACATGTTGGTTGGTGTTGCCCTGGTGGATGTTCTACATGTGCAGTTGTCGGAATTGGTGGGCGTCCAGCTGCTTCAGCGTAACCGTATTATGGTCAAGTTTCACCATCAGGCTGCCTAAAAGGCGTTTCTCGGGCGGTGTGAGGGGCGTGTTTACCCTCTCCCTGATGCCGCCGGTTCCGTTGAAGTGGTGAGCCTCAGTGTCGCCTTGACGTATGTGGCGGTGCGAGGTGCCCCTTTCGAGTCTCGGGACGATCTCTTAACTACTTGTTTTGGCCGGTTTGGTACTGTGTTAAGTATTCGTTGGAACAAGGTACTTGCCGGGCACTGTCCTGGGATGCTTGACGGTTCCCGCACCCTGACGATGTCACTGAAGAGTAGTGTTCCGTCATCCGTGTCCTTGTTGGGTTACACGCTCCGTTGCCTGTATCGAGGGCAACCGCGCACCTGTTATAGATGTAGTCACGGGGATCATCCGGCTGCAGCGTGCGACGTGGGAGCAACTGGCAGGGAGCATATTTTTCGTGAAGAGGATTTTACGCCCCTGTTGACTTTGGCTGCTTCTGAGGACGGAGTGGGTGCTGTGCCTGATTGCCTGTCTGCTGCTCCGCCTGTTGAGGCGGGTTCTACGACATGTGCGTCACGTCTGTTAACTGCTGTGGCCCCGGAAGTTGTTGTTGATCCGGTGTGTGAGAGTGTCGGGCCATCGCCTGCACTACGTGTCGTGGAAGGTGTCCTAATGGACGTCCATGTCCCGCCCCCGCCTGTGGATGTGGTCCGGGCTCCCGGGAGCGCAGGCTCTTCTGTTTTGGAGGGCCTGCCGAGCCTGAGAGTTTGGACGACTGTAGTCCCTTTGCAGAAGTGGGCGCGCCGGTGTCCCGGGCCAATTTCCCATGATGTTGTTGACCGTGTGGGCGATGTAGCCTCTGTGGGTTCTCCGGACGGTGTGGGTGTGGGCCATGTGGATGCGGTGATGGTGGCCGTGCCTGCGGAGGAGACAGGTGGGAGTGGTGTGGTGCCTGTTCCTGCCTGTGTTTCGGATGTTGTTCCAATATGCCCCCCCTGCACCTGTTCTCCGGAATGGGAGGTTGTTGAACCTGCTGTAACCGCTGGTGTGGATCGTGATTTAGTTCTCGTGCTGAAAAAGCACTCCGGCCGGAGAGACTCCGTGCCTTTTGAACCTGTGCCGCGTGTTATACAGCCGCTCGTGATTGGGGGTGTCGTTGTCGAGGTTGCAGAGTATATGCGTCGCCCGCGTCGCTCGAGTGAGGTTGTTCCCCGTCGCAGGATGCCTGGGATGTGTGACATGCGTACTGTCAGAAATATCCTAAGCGTCTGTTGCCTGAGAAATATTATTGAACTAGTTCCCAGGTGTTTCTGTTGTGTTTAGATGGTATGTTTTCTGTTTTATGTTGTTCCTTTGTTTTCCCCGTGTTCCTCCGTTTTTCATTCATGTTTCTGTCATTTATGTGTACTGCCTTGTTACTATGTCCCCGGGTTGGGTTGTTTGTGTCTGTGCGTGTTCTGTTTCGGATTGGGTGCTTCTGTGCCTTATTTTATATTGTATTTTTGTCTTTTATAATAAAAAGAAAAAAAGACGCCACAGAATGAGAGGAGAATTTGTATTGGAAGGGGGGAGGGGGAAGGGGGTGTTGTTAGCTAAGCTACACCAAGGGGCAAAGCAATTAGTAAGGAAGGGACCAAGTCACCTTGGTGTAAACTCCCCGCCTGGAATATCGGGTGTAGACAGTGGTGCGAGGTGGTCGCCTCACCTCAGCCTCCTCACCCCATCCCCCCCAAACACCAATATTAGGCCCTCACAACGAGCACCCAAACGGGCAGACGGCACCGCTCCTGTGCCACGTAAGTCCACTACGGGCTCACCGTAGCTCGTGCTATTTGCCCCGCTCCTGTGTCAGGTAAGTTACGGGCTCACCATAGCCCGTGCTACTTGGAACTTGTTCCGAGTAGCTGAATCTATAACAGCAACAACAGAGCACCCAAACGACTTAAGTGTGTTTAGAGGGACGCCTGGACCTGCAATACCTTTAATCAAGGAACTGCAACTTCCCGTTAGAAGTTGGCATCCATCAGTCTCGGGAGACTATGGAGTGGCGCTCTGGTTGTCGGTCTGGAGTGGCCGATAAAAAGTTCTCATTTATTCTCACTTCCGTTAAGGCGTGAGAATAATTGGCCAATTTGTCCTGTTGCAACTCTTGCACTGACTTCACCTGTCTCACTACAATCAACTCAATGTCTCTGGCGTCCTCTAGCATCTTTCCACTAATTTCTTTGGTCTAATGTTTCAAAGTCTAGACCTACGCTCTCTACGGGAGCCGGTCGGCCGAGCGGACAGCACGCTGTGCTTGTGATCCTGTGGTCCTGGGTTCGATCCCAGGCGCCGGCGAAAAACAATGGGCAGAGTTTCTTTCACCCTATGCCCCTGTTACCTAGCAGTAAAATAGGTACCAGGGTGTTAGTCAGCTGTCACGCGCTGCTTCCTTGGGGTGGAGGCCTGGTCGAGGACCGGGCCGCGGGGACACTAAAAGCCCCGAAATCATCTCAAGATAACCTCAAGATACGTTATTAAATGAACTGTCAGGAGCTTTAAATCATCCCTCCCAAAAGTGCACAAGCAGATAATGATTCCATGAAACTATACACGACATTTACTAATAAAACCTGAACAATTAATCAGCCAATTGTATATCAGGCAGAACAGCTCTAAATTGACATTCACAATAATGTATGTAGTTCAACTAAAATCGTCAATAGCAGACCGCTGGCTAACTGTCCCCCCCCCCCCTCGCTCCGACATCAACATGCGCAAGTATATCGTCTCTTTTTGGTTGCTGTGCTCGGTTATACTAATCGTGCACAGGTAAATATAAAGATATTTACCATTAATAATGCAATGAGAATCATCAAAGTAATCTATACACTTCCAGAATTAAATAGCTCGCACTGCCAATATTTCTCCGTGAGAAATTATTCAGTGGAGCGATCACTCGGCTCCCATTCCTAATCAATAGTGTAGGTAGTCACGAAGATCATTATGCTGGCGTGAAATATATCCAGAAATTAATCAAAGGTCGGAAACAGACATGTGGGCTTATGGCAGCCATTACCTTGGATCAATAATGGCCTTGTCATCACTCAATACTGATGTCATATTATTCACCTGACAAGAAGCGTATACCAGTAGTCGGCTTCTCACGCCGAAATTAATAAGAAAAAAATGTTCTGGTGGCTTTGAGAAGTATTGAGAGTTCGTCACAAGCAAATAGCATTCATACCAATATCTCGCTCTTAGTTTCGTGGTACACTTCGAAACCGGCGAGTGGTCAAGGGGCGCCCGGTGGGCTTGCGGGAGGCCTCACCTCTCCTGCCTTCTTGGTCGAGATCGGGCGTCCACTCCCCAGGGTTACAGCTGCTGACCCCGCGTGACGACACCCAACCGCGACGACACGCAACCGAGACGACACGCAACCGAGACGACACGCAACCGAGACGACACGAAACCGAGACGACACGAAACCGAGACGACACGCAACCGAGACGACACGCAACCGAGACGACACGCAACCGAGACGACAGCACCTAACTCGCGTCTAGACGGTTCAGACGTCGCCTTGTCATTTGGCGGGAACCTGCGCCCTCCAGTCTCACATGAGAAACGGTCTTCAACGCCATAATCTCTCACACACCCTGACCCCACCCAGCTTCCTCTAGGATTATTACCACCTAGAACAAAGGCGCAGCAGATCGGGAAGAAATGGTCACGGCAGAGTCGCATGCTGAGCCAAGAGCAGAATCATAACAAGTGGTACTCACCGTGGCAGATGTCAGCAGTGGATGGCAAGACGCATGAAGTCCCACCGGTTGATTGACAGTCGAGAGGCGGGGCCTCAGAGCCTAAGCCCAACCCCCCCCCCCCAAAGAACAACTAGTTGAGTACAGGCAGCCCGGACACTCTTTTGAATTTTTATTTGAATAATGTTCACTTTTTGATGTATGTAAAATATGGCACTTGTTTGTTATTTGCTGCGTTCGTAAACGACTTAAAAATTCACGACACTGCACGACACTTATAATGTTCACTTGTGTACATATGGCTGTGTTGCTGGAGTAGCTGAGGCACCATATAACTGGTCTGGCTCGTATCCAGTCTTGAACATCTGCATACCATAGGTTTCCCGGACTGAACAGTCACTGTGATGGGGCCCCAGAAGGTGTAGATGGTGACTAAGATAGCACAGACGGTCCAGGTGGAGTCACAGGCGTAGGTGGGGCCCCTAGAAGGCGTACATGGTGACCTAGGTAGCACAGACGGTCCAGGTGGAGTCACAGGCGTAGGTGGGGCCCCTAGAAGGCGTACATGGTGACCTAGGTTGCACAGACGGTCCAGGTGGAGTCACAGGCGTAGGTGGGGCCCCTAGAAGGCGTTCATGGTGACCTAGGTAGCACAGACGGTCCAAGTGGAGTCACAGCAGATGCGTAGATGCGTACACAGGGGGCGGTGGTGGTAAAGGAGACGAGAGCTGCTGTATTGTTACTAGGCGTACGCTTCTCACTTCTAAAATACGCGCCAAACACCGAGGCGGCCCCATTAACATCACCTGCTGGACGACATTTCGTTGGTCGTGATGCATTACAGAAAAATAGAGGTTATCGGGGTACTACAGCAAGCATCGGCGAGACAGGCTTGGAGCAAGGTGGGAGTAGGTCACAGGTCATACACAGGCTCGGGTCAACTGCTCTTTCCTCACCCCTCGCTTTCCCAACTGTTGCCTATCTTCGATTCTTTGATATTTCTCAACCTTCAGGCAAGTGAGGCCAGTTTGTCAACGCTATTGTCTAGCACTATCGTCGAGGGCGAATGACGAAAGGTTAATTGACGTGCTCTTACCATGACAGCAGAGAGGGTACTGAGGGCCTGGTGTATGGTGCAAGACCTTTCAACAGCCGGAAGGTGATAACCACTACCTTACTAACCAGAAGGTTTACCTGAAAGTCTCAACATAAATTTAGAGCAAAAGTGAACTCGCAGTGTATATGTCACTCGGTATTTATATAAAACTGAAAACTTCTAATATACTTAAGTGCAGGCAGTTGACCGCCAGAGACCTCTGTTGGCAACAGTCATAACCACGCGTGTGTTGAATTGCCACCAAGTTTCTCAGCTGTCTATTCGCTCACAGCCGAAAACAGCCTGTCCTCAGGCCAGGCTTGTTGAAGCGGCGGCCGTTTCCCAAGACGCATTGATCAATTTCAACGAATTTTGTATTGAAAATAAGTTTTTCATTTATATATTAATATTATTATATATTAAATTTCTATGTAAAGTTAGGCGAAGGTTAGGTTAGGAGCTTAGATTCTGTTGGCGATTATTTGAATTTGTAGTACGTGGGTGAAGCATTTACAGCGTTGTGGTTCGAACAAAATTCGTCAGTGAAACACTTGTTCCGGAAGTGTTCGAATGTCATCAGTTGAGTCGTGTGTAAACCGTTTTTCATTCATAAACACGGGGGTGGGGGGGGGGGGGGGGGGTTTGGCGGGTAAATGGAATGAACTTTTGATCTTTGTTTGGAGGACGGGCTGTACAGCCCCCAGCCCGTCCTCCAAACAAAGATCCAAAAGTGATTCCATGCACCGGCAAACCCCCAGGTGTTTATGAATGAAAAACGATTTAAACACGACTCACAACTGATGACGTTCGAACACTTCCGGAACAAGTGCTTCACTGACGAATTTTGATCGAATCACAACGCTGTAAATGCTTCACCCACGTACTACAAACAAATAATCGCCAACAGAACTTAAACACCTAACCTAACCTATGCCTATATATGCACAATATGCTAATATATTATAACATTAATTCATGTTTGAGAAAATTCCTGTTTTGAATGAACAGCAACCTAAAATTGATGAATGCGTCTGTGGGGTCGACCGCTGAATGTAATGGACTTGAGTCGAGGATGGGTTGCGCCAGCAGAATCTAAACATCTATCCTAACCTAACCTAACCAACCTAACCTAACCTAACCTAACCTAACCTAACCTAACCTAACCTAACCAACCTAACCTAACCTAACCTAACCTAACCTAACCTAACCAACCTAACCTAACCTAACCTAACCAACCTAACCTAACAAGTGCCTAAATATGCACAGAATGCTAATATTTAAAAATGTTACTTTATATTTGAGAAAATTCCTGTTTTGGATAAACAGCATGAAAAAAATGATGAACGCGTCTGTGGGGTCGAGCGCTGGCTGGAATGGACTTGG